CTGATAGTCGGGCAGCTGGAGCTTAGTGTCGTCCTTGGTCGAACTGGCGTAGTTGTTCTGATTCAGATCTAGACGTCTTGGTGATCTAGATCAGGTCGGCCGGGCGGTGGCGGCTGCATGACTCCACGATGGTGGTGGTGGTGAAGCAACCCCTACGGATCTACGATGAATGTGGTCACCGAAAGGTCATCGGAAGGGTTTATCTCTTCAGATCTGGTGGTTGACTTCGACGGTGAGATGCAAACTATTGATGACGGCTTGACGTAGAGGAATGGTTGTGTAGCGGCGGCGGTCGTACTCGCATGTAGCTACTTGGATCGCGGAAAAGTGGTGGCGACAATACATGAGTGATTTCAATGGTGGTGCTACTCGAGCACCCAGACTCGAGTTATATGGTGTGAAAGCCAAGGTCTGCCTAAGTGGTCATACCTGACAATGGCGATGTTTTGTCCACGCCATTACCTTCTTGAAGGCATTGCTCGGATATACTCGGTCTGATTATTCATGGTGAAAACCAACATACTGGCCTTGGTGGTGGGGTCCGGTGATGGCGGGGCTTGAGTGTCGCACCCTTTTCATGGTGAAAACTAAGATACTGGCCTTGGTGGTGGGATCCGGTGATGGCGGCGCTTGAGTGTCGCACCCTTCCTGAAGGAGTCACTATTGAAGAACCTCGTCGCTCGTGTGGTTTCATGAGATGATTGTTGCGGATATGGTCATTGTTGTACTTTGCCGATCGCAGATCTGATTGCTACGGGGTTTTTTTTCGCCTAAGCATTTTTTTATGAAACAAGGCAAAAGACTTGTCATTTTCATTGATTAAGAAGAAGAGAATTGCACATCTAATTAACGGAAAACCGGGCTAAAACCGATACAACTCAACCCACATGACATGGGCACCACCGGCCAACCTGGCCATCGACATGAAACACAGCCACGACGACACATGCCAACAGATGGCCACACGCGCCAGCAAACGACAGCTCCGACTTCGACGACAAGCATCACACAAGGGAAATATGCGGGACTTGCGCCGACCATGCCCTCCGCAAACGGCCACTGAGTGCCTGTCATCGTTGCCACCTGGACCCGCTCCACCGCAACTCCGACTCCAAGGCAACCAAGCAACCCAAAGAAGAGCACCTCGGACACGCCGGAAAGAACCGACTACCAAAGTCCATGCCGCGACCCGAGCTCCTCTCGACGCCATCATCGTTGCCAAAACAGAACCAGCGCCCCGCCTCAGCAAACCATGCGATGGAGATGCCGCCATCCACTGGTCTCCCAGTCGTAGCCGGCTCCAAGACGATGCCCCCAAGGAGGAGAAAGACGCGAAGACGCCTTCATCGCCCGATCCAGCGGATCTGAGGTTTCCCTCCGGAGCCCAAGCCGTAGAGAGGAGGAGCACACCTCCACGACGACGCTTCCAAGAAAGGGTGTGGCACCCGCGGGCACCGCCGTCGCTGGCTTCGATGTAAACCGAAACAAGGATTTCTCCCGGAGGTGCACCGACCACCTACCACCATCGACCCCCGCCCACTGAGCACCACACCCCTGCCGAAGCTGACCCCAATCTGGTCGCGAGATCCCTTTATCCGCCACGCCCAGGCACGCACCGCCCCCTGGCCGGAGCCGCCACCACCAAAACCCGGGGTCGCCGCCCCGGCAACACCAACAACCACGAGTCCCCAAAGCCGGAGACATAGTCAGGGAGACAAGATGCAGCGATGACACCCTCAACAGGGTCACGACGCCCATGGATGCCGCCACATCATCGCCCCGATCGCAGCCAGATATGGTATTCACCGGCAGCTGCAACACACGACCAAAGACCGGCTGGTCCAACCTGCACACCATGGCCACTGATTCGACCGCACGAACACCACAGTCGTCATCATCCACCACCGTCCCGGGGCCGCCGCCCCAGGATCCATCCTCCACCGCAAACAGCAGCTTAGCCAGGGAAGGGCGACCAGGCCCGTCGGCCGAGGGCCCGCCTCGCCGGATCTGGAGGCAGAGGAGGGGCCTGACCAGATCGACGACCGGCCCGAGCCTTGCTGCGAGAGGCCAGCCAACAGCCGAAGCTGCTGCCGGGGAGCCCGAAGCCGCACCGCAAATCACAGATCCGCCGTCGCAGTGAAGCCGGAGCCGCACGGGAGCAGGGAGAGTGTCGCATTCGCCGGGCCCCGTCCAGCTCGCAAGGCGCCGGCACGACGCCGCCAAAGCAGCAGCCGCACACCGGACCGCCAGGAAGCCACATCTGAGAAAAGTCGGCGTCGTGAGAGAAGGCCCCGACCTGAATCAGCGGAGGAAAAAGCTGTCGCGGATGCCCCGCCGCCGCCGTCCGCCCGGCGGCATCCTTCGGCAACGGCGAGGGAGTTGAAGGGGGAGGTAGGTGGCGGCGGCGGTGGGAAGGGTTCCCGCCCGAGCCGCCCGTGAAGGAGACGCGGGGGCAAGCGGTGATAGCTTTCGCCTAAGCATAGCTTTGGTCTTATATGACTTTACTAGTTGTTGGCTTGTTTGTATGTGTTGGTATAGGCTTTGTGCATCCTAGCTATGCAGAGACCGGCTGTGTATTCATCTTGTTTGTATCCTCTTGATGCTTCATTTTGAGTAAATAAATTTCACTCTTTGTCCAAAAACAAAAACAATATTTGACCCACACACAAACCACATACACTACTACAGTATAGGCCATCTAGTCAGCTTAGAAAGCACATTATTGGTGTGTATATGTGTAATGTGGCAACGGGTTGCTGATTTCTGGGGCTTTCATAGATTGACGACCACAATTGACTGGGATAGAGGGTCTCTGACGGCCCAGAATAAGATCCATCTACCAAAGGATTTAGTGTGGTTGGTTTTCCCACTTCAAAACTTCATGGGATAGCTGTGTGAAAATTGGCCCTACTAACCATCTGGTTGTTCGTTTTATACTTACATTAACTTCATTTGTCATTGATTGACAATAATATTTATTTTACACTCAAATATCAATAGAATTATATGGCACGTTATAGGAACATGACATATACAAAATAACTCAAAGCCATCATCTTTTTTGTCATTCTTATCTCGCTCCTCTGTTTGTGTTGCTGAGTTCACGCATCCTATCTTTGCTTCATTGTTTGTCCAACTACATTCTCATGTCCTTCTTCATTTGTTGAACGTCATAGAAATTAGCCAAGGCTCTTTGCTCTTTTCATAATTATGAATCGAGAACATAATTAAGGACCTACGTATGAATAAAGATGAAGTAAGTATCCCGCAAAAAAAAAGATGAAGTAAGTACAAATCGAGAAGTTCTTCCCCGCTCGAGAACATCGATTTCCGTGACACAGTCGATAGATTCAATAAAAAAATATTGTAATCTCCCATTCGACAATATGCATCTATAAGTAGGATGTACGGTTATTACACAAATGGGAACCTAAACTTAGGTAAAACTACCATGTCACCATTTTCTCCTACGATATATCTTTGGGCATCCCCCTCTACCTACTATTTTCATGCACCCCGTTTGATCATAAGGTGGTGGTGAATCAAACATCGACAGTTGACCCCACTACAGGACACAAGTGTATGTGTTTCCTTGAATCCACCCACTTCTTCATATCGAAACATGCATGACCAAGGAGCCAATCACATCATATGATGTAGATTACAATGAGAATCATCGTTATACAACCAACGGCATCATGGGTGACGACTAGATAGAACTAGAGGGCTAGACGGGGAGAAGACGTGGGTGTGGGCGCCTTCTTCTTCTTCGCCGTCACCTCGTTGCGGGCCTTGTCCGTCGCCGTTGGCTTCCTTGCCCACTTGCCATCTTCCAGAGCAAGCGAAGGGTGACCGGTCGTCTTCGCAGATGGCGCGACCTTGCTGCCAGCGTCTGTTGATGGTGCAGTGTTCCGCACCATTCTCTTCATCCCCAGCCGCTTTCTTGGCGTGGGCGGCGGGGCTGATCAACTTCAGTGGCAACAACTCCGCCCGCGTAGCGTCGGCGGGAGTGGCAGGCAGGGTTGCGGAGGTGGCCTGTGGTCCCATTCCCGTTAGAATTGGGGCCTCCTATAGCTGCGGCTCCTACATTGCACAATGGAGGCGGGAAGTGAGGCGCCGCTGGCGGGAGTTGGGAGGGGACAAATTTTTGCTGAGAATCGTTAGTGGACACTCAAAAATGAGGGAGCTGACAAGTTTTTTGGGCTTGACCCCTCAAAGTTGAGGAGCTAATCGGATAGCAGTTCGGCTAGGCACGGCTATTTCTCTCAGATCCACCAAGATAAACACCGATCTAATCCCGCGAGATCCACCAGAGATACACCTCCACACGCCCCCGACGATGCTAGACGTGCCGCCGAGATGGGGGCTAAGGCGGGTAGAACCTTATGTCATCTTCAGGGACCCACCGCAGGCTCGTGTTCTTAAGCAGGACACAATCCCTACACAAACTAAAAAACCCTAAAAGGAGCCCTCCCATAAGCAAGGGCCGGGATCCATCGCGCCTACATGGCCCTAAGACCACCGAAGACGAGTCAGATCGATGACGACACCAGCAAGAGGCGGGGAAACCCTAGTGTGGGACTTGCTTATGGAAGGAGGAACAGGAAAACCCCGTACACTCGTAGGCGCCGCCCCACTTTAGCGGCGGGGTTATTGTGCAATGCCTGGGCAGGCCATATTAGAGCAGAGCCCAAGTTTTTCTCTCTCACAACTCAATTTCTCTCTCAGGCAGAGTGTTTGGCTACGAAACTAGGTGGATCGTGGCCCAGTTTTGTCCCAACGAAGCTCTGCCATTATCAGCTTATATTTGGCGTCGCCTACCATGCATTATATGTTACTAGGATGTATCACATCTCAGTCAGTGAAGTGTTGCACACATACTAAAATTCAATTTTGTACATTTTCCTATGCTTTGTGGATCATTATAAATTCCTTCACTTTTGTACATCTTTCGTATATCCAGCAATACAAATTGATCGTTCGTTTTTATATGTCAACAGCATGTACAAAACACTTGAGAGATACCGCACCTGCAACTGCAACTCACAGGAAGCGACCCCTCTAGCAGAAAATGAAGTAAGCATCTCAAGTTCTTAACACCTTCCTGAATATAATTAAAGAGGTTATACCTCTCCTTGAACAAAAGCCGTAGCCTGCCGTTTTTGCTAAAAGAAAAGGCAGAGTTATACAAGAGAGAAGACAACACGTTCTCTTTTATTTTATTTTTGCGATGAACACGTTCTCTTTTAAATGTCTATAGTTTCATAGAACGAAATAAATATACTTGTGATTGAAAAGAAATTTACATTCAAGATTAAATGATATGCATGTACAAAAGGATTAATAACAAGTATATACTTTTGTTTTCTATGAGGCATATATTGGTAGTCGTTGCCTAAGGGTTCCTTTTCCCGTCTATTAAAATGAGAATTCGATTAAACTCATTATGCAAAAATATTTATCTAGAGCAATACCATGAAGTTTATAACTATTATTAAGACTATAGCTAAGGCAAAAAAATAATACAATACAGTCATGGAACGATAACCATGCATCATGTCACTAACGCGTCAGGCCTGATGGAATGCTTAAAACCAAAATAAATGGAAATAATAATACAAAAAGGATATTATAACTAATTGCCATGTGCGGCAAACATCAACATGTAGCAACATTAAATTCAGGTGATTGTCCAAGGCTAGGTCCAGGCTGAACGTTGCACTGTCTTGCAGTCTGTTGTTGTTTTCAATCTTTCCTAGCTTCCATTTGATGGGACGACATTTGTTTGAACTGTCTTGTTTCTTTGGCCAACATAGTTTGTTGTCATGTTCATGACTGTACATTTTAGCCTCTCTTTCCCACATACGGCAAGTATTATGTCACTTGAACTGACATGTACCATGCATTCTTTTGTTGTCGAAACTAGATAAATTACCAGCAATATCTGAAGCTGAAGACCAGACTTGAATATCTTGAAAGTTCACAAAGGTAGTTTCCAGACGTTGGGCTGGACGGTTACTTGCTGTGTATATATATTCCAATGTCGCTCCACCTTATCGAAAACCTTATGAGTCCTCGTTCTCATGTCGTAGAAATATTCTCGGTGAGGATCTGGGCCCACTTAGCATGAAGGAACTTGAGCAAATTGAGAACCAAATAGACATATCCCTCAAGCATATCAGGACAAGAAAGGTAGAGAACTTGAACATTTCATGTATATTATATAAGCTCAGGTTCAGCAGCTTCAGATGTTTTTCTTTTATACCGATACTGCTTCAGTTTAGTAAGATGTATTAGTTTCAAATTGTCTTAGTGAAACATGTTAACTTTAGAGCATCTACATTATACTGTATAAATTGTTGTTAGGATGTATCTGAACTTTTAAGACATTTTTCTATAACATAGTTTGTTGTCATGTTCATGACTGTATATATATATATATGTATGTATATATTCTGTTGCTGGTTTTTCCTTGATTTATGACAAAGAAATAATTATTTTTTTGCAGAATAAAGTATTACTTGATGAGCTATATGACCTGAAAAGTAAGGTAATGATGAATCATGAACTTCAGACAATCCTCGCCCTATATTGCATGCTTCTTCTGTAATATATATATAATGCATGGCTGGCAAAATGATGTTCTGCAGGAGCAAGAATTGCAGGATCAAAACAAAAACCTGAGGAAGAAGGTACTACCATCGAGCTTACAAAACTATATTCATACCTTTGCTTGACGAAGTTTGTAAACTACACGAAATACAAAACTATATTCATTCTAATCCAAAAAATTGAGTCAAATGTGGCCAAATAAATTTCTCATCACTGTTTTCTTGCGAGTGCCAGTTGCAAGACACCAGCTGTGTCGAGAATGCGCTCCATATGGCCTGGCAAGATGCAGGACAGTGTAGCTCAAGTGGACATGTCATTGATACTACTTATTCAGGACTTGTGCAACACCCGGAACATGATTCCTCCGTGCAAGTTGGGTATGTCTTTCTACATGTCAATCAGTGTAACCTGCCAAATCTCTCCTAGGCATAAACTTTTTTTTTGCAGTATAGTACCCAAACGAGTCATCCATGACCTGTTGAACATGAGTGTTTGGTCAGTTGAAATGGCTTCTTTTCCTGTGTGAAAGGTACAATAATCAGGCCTATGTGGACCAGCCGAACAACGAAGACATGGCTTCTCAGCGCCTTCATGGACTTGGATCATCTGCAGGATGGATATGATTGGTTATGGCGACGAGACAGATAGATTTCACGTATATATTGTACGTCCAATCTGGAGTCCAGAAACTCTGCATATGACTGATGTAGCCACTGGTCTATGTACTGAGATCGCTGCTCTTAGCACTTTTCGGAAGAATAAACAGGTGTCGAGTACGTATCTATTGTAATGGTTTATTCATCCACGGACATGGGAGTGGGACATCACGTGGCCTGGCGTTGCGTCCCGTACGTAGCTAATATGTTTGGATTTGTGTGTCACTTGTTATATTTTGTGTGCTGAACGTGTGGTCATTAGGAACCATATGTATGGATCAAAATACCTCTTGTTTTATGGATTTAGAGCATAATCAGTTTGATGCCAAAAATTGGCATTGTGTCGATGTGGAATATAAGGTTTATCTCAGTCATGCTGTCCGGCGGTGCCGACAACGTTCCGACCGGTGAAGATTGGCCAGTCTCTGCCTCGTTGGAGAGCGTGTGAGGTTTGTGTTCCCTACTCGGTCTGGCCGGAATTGGGGCATTCTCAAGACCCTCCTCGCATTTTTCTTCTTTGAGGCGATGATTTGTTACGCAAATCACGGCTGGCTGCATCTTCTGGTCTACATCATATTGTTGGTGATGTGATTGTTTGTGTTCAGAAAAAAAAAGTTACAAGTTCAGTTTGGTGATGAATCTTATGAATTTAATTTTTCTAAGTTCACCAAACAACATCATGCTAAAGATTTACCTCATGAGTACCTAATTGTTAGTCTTGCTTCTATTGTCATACCTCCTACTGATCCTTTAGAGCAATACTTGTTACTCCTTCTATTCCTAAATATTTGTCTTTTTAGATATTTCAAATGGACTACCACATACGAATGTACATGGACATATTTTAGAGTATATATTCATTCATTTTGCTTCGTATGTCGTCACTTGTTGAAATCTCTAGAAAGGCAAATATTTAGGAACGGAGGGAGTAGAACATAAGAATGATATGAATATGCAAGAAAGAAAAGAAATAGATGATATTTTCTTAAGGCAAGAACCTATTCTAAAACATAATTTGCATGTTGAAAGCTTGGGAGATTGTCCACCCGCTAAGGGTGATCCTGTGTTTGAATTAAAGAAATTATATCATGTTATTATCAATTATAACCTTTTAGTGCACAAAAAGCAAACATTGTTGAGCACTCTAAGAAAACATCATGCTATAATTGGATATACTCTGATAATCTCAAGGGCATCAGCATAGTTATGTGTCAACACAAAATTAATATGGAGCCAGATGCTAAACCTGTTATTGATCATCAACACCGCTTAAATCCTAAGATGTAGGAAGTGGTAAGAAAATGAAATATTAACACTTGTGGAAGTAGGTATAATTTATCATATGGCTGATAGTAGATGGGTAAGTCTTGTTCATTGTGTCCCTAAGAATGGTGGCATTATTGTTGTTCCTAATGATGAAAATGAATTTACCCCGCAAAGAGTTATCATTGGTTATAGGATGGTTCTTGAATTTAGAAAGTTAAATAAGGCTACTAGGAAAGAATATCACCCTTTGTCTTTTATTGATCAAATGTGAGAAAGATTATCTAAGCACACACATTTGCTTTCTAGATGGTCATTCTTGTTTTTCTCAGTTACATGTTCATCCGGAGGATCGAGAGAAAACAACATGTACTTGTCCTTTTGGGACTTTTACTTATAGATGTATGCCTTTTGGTTTATGCAATGCACCTGCTGCATTTCAAAAATGTATGACTACTATATTTTCTGACTTCTTCGAAAAAATAGTTGAAGTTTTCATGGACGATTTCTCCGTCTATGGGACTTCATTTGATGATTGCTTGCATAATCTTGACAAGTTTTGCAGAGATGTGAGGAAACCAGTCTTGTGTTGAACTAGGAGAAGTGCCACTTTGTGGTAAACGAAGGTAGTCTTTGTCATAAAATTTCTGAAATAGGCATTAAGGTAGATAAAGCTAAGGTGGTCTCCATTGAGAAAATGCCATGTCCTAAAGATATCAAAGGTAGAAGAAGTTTTATTGGTCATATTGGTTTCCATAGAAGGTTTAAGGAGTTTTCTAAAAATTATAGGCCTCTTACTAATCTTCTGCAAAAATATGTTCCATTTGTTCGTGCTGATGATTGTGTAAATGCCTTTGAAATTTGTAAGAAAGCTTTGATTCCCGCTCTTATTGTTCAACTGTACCTGATTGGAAATTACTCTTTGAAATTATGTGTGATGCTAGTGAGTATGTTGTAGGTGTTGTCCTTGGTTAAAGATTTGATAAGAAATTGAATATTATTTATTATTCTAGTAAGACTTTGGGCAGTGTCCAAAGTAATTATGCTACTACTAAGAAAGAATTTTTAGCAGTTGTTTTTGCTTGTGATAAGTTTAGACCTTATGTTGTTGATTCTAAAGTAACTATTCATACCGATCATGCTCCCATGGATACGAAAGATGTTAAGACTAGGTTGATTAGGTGGCTTCTTTTATTACAAGAGTTTGATCTGAATATTGTTGATATAAAGGGAGATGAAACTCCTGTAGCTGATAATTCGTCTAGGATGGAAAACATTCTTGATGACCCAATTTTTGTTAATAATAGTTTTCCTGATGAGAAACTAGTTGTTATTAATGTTTCCCCCTCATGATAATCCTTTGTATGCTGATTATGCAAATTATATTGTTGCTAAATATTTGCCACCTAAATTTACATACGAAAAAACAAAAAAATCGTTTTTAACTTAAGACGTTGCTTTTGGGATGACCAAATTTATATAAAGGAGTATGTGGTATTATTAGATGTTATATACCTGATTATGAGCAGGAACAAATCTTGAGGAAGTGTCACTCCAGTCCATATGGAGGACACCATGCTGGAGATAGAACTGCACACAAAAAATTACAACCTGGTTTTTATTGGCCTACTCCTTTCAAGGATGCTCGTAATTGTATTTGTTCTTGTGATGAATGTCAAATAGTTGGTAATATTGGTAGACGTCGAAAGAGCCATTTGATGTTTGCAGTTTTGATTATATGGGAGATTTTTATTCTTTGCATTGTAACACTCATATTCTAATTGTTGTTGATTATGTCACTAAGTGAGTCGAAGCTAGTTCAACTAAGTGTGTTGATCACAATACTTATATTAAATGCTTAAAGATGTTATCATTTCGAGGTTTGGACTCCCTAGATAATTAATGACTGATGGTGCTTCACATTTTATTCATAGTGCTTTCAGGAAAGTTCTAGGTATGTACGATGTAAAAACCATAGAGTAACATCACCTTATCATTCTCATTCCTAATGGGCAAGTTGAGTTAATGAATAAAGAAATCAAATTAATATTGCAAAAGAATGTTAATAAATTTAGAAACGATTGGTCTAAGAAACTGGATGATGCACTCAGAACTGCTTATAAAAATCCTATAGGAATGTCCCCATATAAAATGACTTTTGAAAAAACATGTCATTTACCTCTTGAGTTTGAAGATAAATCTTATTGGGCAATTATGGAACTTCATTATGATTTCAAACTGGTGGAGAAAAGAGGTTATTTGATATGAGTTCTCTTGATGGATGGAGAACAAAAGCTTATGAAAATGCCAAGTTATCTAAAGAACAAGTTAAAAGATGGCATCATGTCAGGTGTGTGGTACTCAAGCACTGACGTTATTTGAGACCAATTCCAGTCATGTAAGGATGCCAAATTCCGGTGATATACGGCAAGTTTCAGTCCAAAATAAACTGAAGCACAATAGTTGCCATGCTTAACAACTAAAGTTGCCATCTTTGGGTCACTAAACTTTCCATCAAAAATGTTTGAAGTTGCCATATGCTCATGCTACAAGTCATGAACTTATTAGGGTCCAAGAAAAAAATGAAACAGGAAAGAAGAAACAAAATAAAAAAAAGAAACAAAACAAGAAAAAAAAAGAAAAAAGAAAAGGTTCAGCAACCTCTAAAAGGTGCCTAAAACCAGAATGGCTGAAACACTTAGGGGGGGCAGCCTAGTCAAATTGATCGCTGGATTTCCCTGTGCAAATCAGCGATAGTTCAACGCAAAGAGCGTCGCCTCAAGGAACACATTACGGGGCCGGCTCATTAGCGAGACAGAGTGTAGGCTTTGATTTTTTGTACGTTTGTCCGTTCGTATCTTTCAGTTTTTCGTTCGCTTGTTCGTTCTATTTTTTTATTTTTTATATATATTTTAGAAATATTATAAATACATACATTTTAAAATTTAATTTATTTTCTAAATAATGAAATTTAAAAATGTTAATGTAGTATAAGAATATTGTTAGTGTAATTTTTAAAAAGAAAATTATGGTATTCACAAGAAATGTTAGTGACATTTAAGAATGTTTGGCACATACTGAAATAATGTTTAACGCATATTCAAAAAAGTACAAAAACAGCTCTTTGAAAAAAATGACAATCATGTATTTAAAGAATGTTAGAAGTGTGCAAAAATGTTCTTGATATAAAGAAAAATGTACAACATCTATACAAAAAGTAGACTTCAAACACGTATATATAAAACAAATGTTAATATTTTATTTTTAAAAAGGTAACAGTGTATAAGAATAAATGTTACATATGTGTATAAATAATGTACAATGCGTATGAAAAAATTGAGATGAAAACATATTTGAAACAATGTTTATCATGTATTCAAAAAATGTTAAGCGTGTCAAAAAAAAATCCCTTATTTATGTGAAAAATGTAGAATGTATATCAAATAAAGTAGACTTCAAAACATATAGTATTAGAAGAAAATGTTGATCATGTATTTAGGACATTCTCAACGTGTACAGATAATATTATAGATTTATAGAAAAAATGTATTGTAAAGAAAAATAAAAAAAGAGGAAAAAAATTAAACTGTAAAGAAAACATAAAAAAGAAAGAAAAAAATTGAAAACGAGAAAACAGATGAAAGCCTTATAGAAACACATAGAGCAGAAAAACAATGAAAACCAAATAAAACCGAAACAAAACA